ACATCTGGCAAAAAGTTGATCCAACCCGCAAAACTGACCTGACCCAACCCAATCCGAAAAAACAAGGTTAGGGTCTCATATTTAGCTATCCAATGTGGAAATGACTCAACCCGACCCAAAAAAATTGGGTTGGGTCATGGGTCAACCTGCTGACCCGATTGTTAAGTTTAATTGGGATTATTTATGTATTGTTAGAAGTTTTCACTCTTTAATTTTTTCTGTTTAGTCTTTACTTTTTATTGTTTATTCATTAAATTGTTAAATGTTCAAACTTTTTATTTTATATTTGAAATTTTAAGATTAATTCTTTTAATTTTGATATTTTTCATATAATTTTTCTTTATTTTTTTAAATTCAATTATTTTTTGAGATGACGAATTGACCCATGGGTCAACCCTAACCCGAACATTTAGGGTTAGGGTATAGCATTTGATAACCCATCCTGAAATTCAACCCGATCCAAAATCAACCCGAAGTACCTTAGCCCAACCCCAATCCGACCCATCCAACCCAATTGCCAGGTCTACATCTACCCTAAGCCATTAATGTCGGATTCAGATTGAACCTGATAACTGGGCCATTTTGGTCTTGCATCCGGTCCGTCTAACCGACAACACTCTGCACCTTCCCGGTATCTCTTTTACTTTTTTTTTAGTTGTCGAAATAAATAAAAACAATATTCCATATTATGGATGAAATTAATAGCCACGTATCAGTCCTATTTTTCTATTATTATTCTTTTATTTTCCTCCGTGTTGCCGTGTTGGAAGAAAATGGAGCGTGAAGAAATTCCGTCATTGATTGAAAATATATTATTTTTTTGTGGCAAACAGTGAGTTAAATATTTAAAAATATAAAATTCCAACGCGCTACTTTACATGTATAACCTGTAAAGACTCACTTTCCGTAACATTTTCCGCGTTGGACTTTGACTATTTCCAGATTCCAATCTGGCCGTTGTCATTACAGCCTAGTGCCATTCCCCAACCGCCACCCATCTTTGATTCTTGAAGATCTGACAAATCAAGGGTGGTCCCGGATAATGAGTTCGAATATAAAAAATAATAATTCTTTACCATCCGATCTATGTCTATGATGAATGTTGAATCTCAAAATAAAAAATCATCCCAGCCGTCCATTCCGATCTTCTCGACTCATTATCCAAGATTGATCCGGATGAGCGTACTATTCCCTATGTTGCTAAACTGTACGGTTGGAATTGCAGAATATTGTGTCTCCCCCACTTAATGAATGTAACCCTACGGTTTAATCATCGGTTATGTTGTCAATATTCCATACCGTGGGAGCACGACACGTGTCGACTACACTTCCCTACCTAGAGGCTGGAGACGGAGAATACTGACGCTAGACGCAATCAAGTGGGGGTCAAACTAGAAAATGAAAAACGTGTTTTGTAAAATTGAGAATTCCCGCTTTCCTTTCCGTTAAATAACGAAATGCCCAAAACACCCTTGAGAATCATACAATTTACCAATGCGTCTCGGTCACAATATACAGATTGATTTAATAAGAGTGAGGGCATGTTAAAGCAAATTTGCCAGTTGCTCGAAAGGAAACCAAAAGTTGTCTTCCTAAAAAATCATCCTTCTTTTTTACTGTAATGATGGGTAACAACAATTTGATAATAGTTGTTTATTCATTGTTATTCTAGTTAGGAAAGTGACTCAAATCCATTAAGCAGCTGGAATCTACGGACATGATTCACTCAAAAGTGGGCCCACTATTTTTGTGTGACTTGATGGTGGCCCATATCTTTGTACTCAATTTCAATTAAATAATGAGCTTAAGTCTTATTTTATTTGGGAAATTTCCCGATTACCCTGTAATTTAGATCTAGTGATTTATCTGTCATTAATCAGGTGTTAATCCCGATTACCTAGTTTTTTTATCAACCATTAAAATATTGATAAAAAATGAATAGTCATAAATTTTTGTCTTTTCTATTCAAAGTTGGGGTTACCAGAATACCCACTAAGACATAACCTTAACTTTCTTGAATATAAGAGGCAATTATTTGTCAAATTTGCATGGTTGATAAAGAAAATTAAATGACACTCAAAGGGCATCCATGTATTTTTCAAATGTCACTTAACAGATGGTTAATAGCAGGTACTGGATTGACACATTTTGAAAAGTTCAGGTACTAAATTGTTGCATTTTAAAGTTCGGTGACCAAAGTAGTGCTAAGCCCAAAGTACAAGATACTAATCGAAAATTTTCCCATTTTATTTTAACAGGTAAATTGCTGAAGCCTTTTCCTAAAGTTTTTGATCATTGCTCAAACTTCTCCTGAAGTTCGGTAATTGTAATCACCCTCTAAAACTTTTTGACATAGTTGTAAGTATACTCCCTTTATTTGAATTCTCTAATCAAAAGCACCAAAATGTCAAAATACCCATGGAATTACTATTGAGTCTAGTTTTTAAAGAAAGAAAAAACAATACAAACTTTATAAACAACAAAAAGAAGAGAATTTAAAGTTGTAGCTTTACCTACCTTCGACCAACATGAAGGCAATTTTGGAAAATGGATCTACTTCAAAAAAGAGATTTGAAGGATTTGAATTAGCCATATGAGGTGAAATTTTAAAAAATAAACACTTTGGACAAAAGTAACTGCATGTGTATTTTGGACATTTTCATACCTCTTTTTAGAGGATTCTAATAAAGGGGGTCTACTTGCAACTATATTAGAAAGTTTAGGGGAGGTGATTACAATTACTAAACCTATTTTAATTTATTGTTATCAATGTAACGGCATTAGACAATTAAAAGGTAAAGATATAAGTTGACATGTATAATCAAATTTAACTTTGGCAAGTCTTCTTAGTATAGATAACTAATTATTTGTCTTTAATGTATTAATTTAAAATATTCTTTATTAGGATTGTTTAAACCAGTAAGAAAAGTTTATGGAATTGTCACTTTCCATGTTCATGGTTACTTATTTTTATTTGGTAAATTAATGGGGTGTTTGACAACATGGTTGGTTTTGAATCCATAAACAACTACCACATTAGCAAAGTTATATTGTTTTGATGATGTGGCAGTTTTTGTTTTCAAAAACAAAACCAACAACACTGCCAAACACCTTCTTAAATAATTGTCTAAAACTCATCATGATTTTTTAGCATTTCTCTTTAATTCACCATAATTTTTCAAACACATATAGGGAACCCAATGTCGGTGACTATGATGTTAAACAAATTAATGGGTGTTAGTAGATTGCCATTTTACCTTTTATTATATTCAATCCATTTTTCAATATTCCAGAACTGCCCCTATATTATTCGACCCAAAACCCATTTTTCAGCTTTCTTGGAATACTTTCAAACAACACAAGAACAAAATGTCACTCAATGAGTAGAAATCTTATATACAAGGAAATTGGGCACTTATGGGCCTTTTAATCATAAAAATATGTTTAATAAGACTGATTTGCCATTCAGGGGCAATTTGGTCATGAAAATTGTATTTATGCCAACATGGACAACTTTTGTCAATGTATACTAATAGTGCTCTAACGGATGGTGAATTTTAGAAAATAAAAACTCGTCGACATGGGATTTCCTGGATGTTTTGGAAAGTTATGATGAATTTAAGAGAAATGTTGAAAAGTCATGATGAATTTTAGATGATTTACCTTTAGTATTCATTGTTTTTTGAAAGCAATAACACTAATTCATTGCTAATGTAGGCATTTAATAGGAAACATTAAATTTATTGTTTGATTGAACCATTTATTAAATAAACATTTCTCTCAATTTATGTGGAAATTATTTATTAGAAAAAAAAAACATAAAAATGACATTTTTGGTTTTCATCCACGTCTTTTACCTTTGGACACATATAGCAGCACCCTAATGGCATCTAATAGTGGTGAGCTGTAAAAAACATTTATCAAATAAACGCCATCAATACCAAGCATCCCATTAATATGGTATCAGGTGTTATTTTCTTTCACTTTATGGATGAAAGCATGCATAGGCATTTTTTTAATCAAGATTACATATATGTTTGACATAATTTTCGCTTATTAAATAAATGTTTGTGCTTGATTATCTTCAAAATCGAGAAACACTACTTGATAAATATTTTGTCATAATTTATTGATAATTAGACACCACTAGGCGCCACATCAACAAAACATCTAATAAACACGGGCTGAGTTTGGAAGGACTACAAATGCAAATATGTAAAGTGCAAAACCTTATATTTTGTATGTATTTATGCTGTACATAATTGTATTTGTACTGCTTCTAAACTGAGTCTTAGATTGTGTTTGAAAATGATGTAAATGGAGTGTAAATTCCGGTTCAGAGTAAATTTGCACTCTAATTCACTTTTAATCATATTTAGCAACATTACATTTATGCATCGACAAATGACAAAAAACACATTTTCCAATGCATATTTACATTGATAATAAGATATAAAAATACATCAATAAAAATGAAGTAAATTTGCATTCAAGTGAGCTTTTGATAAAAAGGACATGCTTTATTGGAATTTGTATTTGCATCCATTACGGTTTATAAATCTTTTAAATAAAAAAATGAATTTATCAGTACAAAATTAACCCAAATTTACAATTAATCATTTTACATTCTACATTTTTTCATTCACACTTATTTACATTGTTTCCGATCGCAGCCAAGTGTTATCCATAATTATGCAAACCTACAAAACCCAATAATAAAATAAACGCTAATTTGACGCCACTAATTTGATAGAAAGCCATTTCAAACACCGCCTACATCTAACGGCATACTGAGCTGGTACGCTACTTGTCTTCTCCGATCTTTTGTCGGAAGGAAAAAACCCTGGTGCCGGAAACGGAAAGTCGACTCCTGTAACAGTTTAACTTTTATATTGATTTAGGGGCACATTTAATTTAAGCTAATTATAGCAAAGGGCCCGAAAATATGTGAATTCCAGGAGGAGGACAAATAAATGGAGGATTCGGGATTTCCAAGGGCTACTTAGTCACATACAGTAATATTCAGTCATCAAAGAGAAGACCACCAGGATCCAGAATCCTGAGAGTGTGAATAAATAAGAGAGAGAGAGAGAGACCGACGCCCTTGAGAATAGAAATATGAAGCCGTGGGGCTGTTGGTTTTAAAACCCAGGCCAGGCCTCAGCCTCAGGAATGAAATCAATCACACACTACGCCAAATAAACCCCTCTATTCGCCATAGATTTCGGAGCCCGTATTTAGAAACCCACGAGAGAAAACAAAAAAAAAAAAAAAGAAGAAAAGAAGAAGAAGAAAAATTACACAGGAAGAGAAGCGACGGTTTTCAAGACGCCATTGCCGTTGCTTTGCAAGCTTCAATTATCCCTGTTCTTCTTGTTTGTTTTGTTTTCCCCCTGATTGCCATTTTTGGGCCTCTATACTGATGTCGGCCAGTGGTGGAGCGAACTCCTGTAATGGAAGTCCGAGACTCTCCGGGCCCACGACGAGGCGGAGAGTGACTGATTTCGTAGACGCAGAGAAATCTAGCTTCGAGGCTTTTACAGACGAAGAAAGCGGTGCCAGTGATGATGGTAATGGTGGTTGCCATCACCACCACCCTGTGATTCGGTATTTGTTGGTGCGTCTGAGACTCTTCTCTTTGCCGGAATGGTTGCTGCTTAGCATGGAAAGCATGGTTATGTCGATGGTTTCGATGGCGCAATCCTTCAAATCTGGGAAGAACTTGTGCCGGCGGATTATTCTGATGCTAATATGTTTGGCGGTATTTTCGGTATTTTTGAAGTTTTCTTTAACGAATATCCATGTGGAGATGAATGGGAAGAGGAGAGAGAGCGGGCTCTTTATTCTTCAGACCTTTAAGGAGGAGTGGGCAATGGCACAGATGGCCGTGACCGAGAAAGAGGCCGGCCAGGCTGGGGTCTCGAAACGGGTCTTCGAAAAGCTCCCGGTAAGATTAAGATTTTGTTCTGCTTATTCTTTTTCTTGCGATTTCTTTCAAAAAGTTCTTCCGAGGAAGCAACTCATTTCCAACATAAAATTTTTCTGGGTCTCTCTTGCTTCTTTTTTCTTGTCTTTTTCAATAATGGGAAACTGGATCTTTTTCCTTCAGGTTTTCGATTCATTGTTTCTTGCTACAGAGATGGAAACAGTGGACTACAATAAATGTAATAAAACTTTGAGAATCTTGTTTGTTTTGTTTCTTTGATTCAATAATTTTTTTTTCTCGAATTAGTTTCTAAAAATTGATTGAAGGTAATAAATAAAAGTCTATTTTTCTGTAAGTGTGCAATTTGCTGCATAGCCTCTTGAATTGATTTTAGTATTTGTTTTAGGATGGTTGCTTGTATATGTCGCCCATCATGGTCTTCAATGATCTAATTCTGTTTTGGATCTATCCCGCTTTTCCTCTTCCTATTGTATATTTTCATTTGGACTTTGAAAACAAGCTCTAACAAACCAGAAAATGTTAATATTGATCATGACCCTGGTTAAGCATTAAATGACAAAATCGCGAAAAAAAGTAAAATCTGGTTCGGTGAAAGTATTAAGCTTAGCTTAGACTAAGCATATCTTATAACGATTAATCATCCCATTTTCTGACTTTTTGATGGCGTGTTACACTGAACATCTGAATATGCTGGTATTGATAAGGTACCGTCTTGTCTAATTGATGCTCTGTTGTCCTGAACAAATGGCTCTTCACCATTTTGAGATATGATTTTGTGTCGGTAGTTTTCTCTTTCGGTTCTTTCTGTGATTGGATTTTTATTTCATAGCTACGAAATTTTGCTGGGTTAGTTGTCTTTAAATGAATTATTGAAACACTTGACATGGGCCTAATTAAGTTTGGTTGAGTAGATAATTCATTGCCTTGGCTGTAGATTGGAATACATTTTTCTAATTTTTAAATGAACTCTTGTTCTACAGGTTCCTGAAATTTGGATGAAACCAAACAGCGATAATTACCACAAATGCATTAATCGACAAAAGAATCTAACAAGTATGTCTCAACTATCTTACCCCAAAACCTTTTTGCTGTGAAGTACTTTTCCTTGCTTCTTATCTTATTTCTCGAATATTTTTTCTTTAGGGGGGTTGCAGAAGACAAACGGTTATATTTTGGTTCATGCTAATGGTGGACTGAATCAGATGAGGACAGGAGTATGTGTTTTCACTTGCAAGTTTTTTAGTATATTATGCTTTTTATTTCTTTCTTTCTTTTTTTTTTGTTCTTGCCAACCTTGCAAGTTCCTTTCCATTTTTCGCATCATCTTACCTTCTGTTGTCATGACAAAAAAAAAAGAAAAAAAAACTTACCTTCCATGCACGAATTGGAATGCAGATATGTGATATGGTAGCAGTAGCAAAAATCATGAATGCCACTTTGGTTCTTCCTTCACTGGATCATGACTCCTTTTGGACAGATCCGAGGTAGAAATTGTTGGTTTTACTTTAGTTTAGTAGAAAGGAAACTACAATATAAAATGCATTTATTTGATTTTTGACCTATTGATTTTTGCAGTGATTTTAAAGATATTTTCAACTGGAAGCGCTTCATAGAAGTTCTGAAAGATGATATAGAGATAGTAGAGTTATTGCCACCTGAATATGCATCTGTCATACCGCTGCTAAAGGCCCCAGTTTCCTGGTCGAAGGTCTGTTGACAGTCAAAAGCTTTTAAATGTAAAGGGATTTTTCTATTTCCCAACTCCCTGTTGCAATACAACAGTTTGTTTTAAATTTTGCAGGCTTCTTACTACAGAGAAGAGATGGTCCCATTACTCAAGCAGCATAAGGTGTTGAAGTTTACACATACTGATTCTCGACTTGCCAATAATGGTCTCTCCAGTTCAATCCAGAAGCTTCGATGTCGCGCAAATTACCAGGCACTCCGGTACACAAGTGAGATTGAGGAGCTTGGAATGAAATTGGTAGATAGACTTAGAAATGAAAGCAACCCATACATTGCACTCCATTTAAGGTATCTATCCAGGGATATCATCTCCATCAAATTTGCTCTTCTTTACTGTTTATCTCAATTAACAAGGCTAATTTAAATTGCAGATATGAAAAAGACATGCTTGCATTCACAGGATGCAGCCACAATCTTACCTCAGAAGAATCTGAGGAGCTTCGTGTTATGAGGTACAATGTCAAGCATTGGAAGGAAAAGGACATTGACAGCAAAGAGCGGAGGCTTCAAGGGGGATGCCCAATGTCCCCTAGAGAGGCTGCTTTGTTCCTCAAGGCCATGGGTTATCCTTCTACCACAAACATCTATATAGTTGCAGGAGAGATATATGGTAGCAATAGCATTGCTGCACTTCGTGCTGAATACCCAAATGTCTTCACCCATTCCAGTCTAGCAACAGAAGAGGAGCTGAAGCCCTTCAAGCAGTTTCAAAATCGCCTTGCTGCAATGGACTATATTGTGGCCCTTGAGAGTGATGTCTTTGTTTACACCTACGATGGGAATATGGCCAAGGCAGTACAGGGCCATAGAAGATTTGAAGGATTCCAAAAGACTATCAGCCCTGACAGGTATTTAGTGCAAGTGAAACTCTATCTTATTTTCTTTCATCTCTTTACATGCAGTGCACAAGGTGGACAGGAAATGTACACATGACCTTTTTTGCCTGTGAAAATGCTGCAAATAGATGAGTTGATATTTTTGCTTTTGTTTCCCCCCCTTTCAGGCAAAATTTTGTGAAACTGATTGATCAAATGGACGAGGGTGTGATATCTTGGGAACAATTCTCATCAGAAGTGAAGAGTTTGCATCGTAATAGGATTGGATCACCATATCCAAGACAGATAGGAGAGTTCCCCAGACTTGAGGAGAACTTCTATGCAAATCCTTTTCCTGGGTGTGTTTGTGAAAAGTCACGGGCACGAACCAGACAGCAACAAATAGGTGTAAAGAACCACGGATCTGCTGTGCAAAGATAGAGGTTTTTTTTTCCTCCCTTTTATGGGCCTTCTGTAATACTGTAAAATGAAAAACTCCCATTCTGCAGAGATAGCACAGGTAGATAGTATGGGCTTGTGTAAAGAATTGTTTTCTAGCCCAATTCATAGGTTGTGGCAGCATATGAGTTTTGCTTCCGAGAGAGGGATCTTGAGGCTCCTAATTCTATGTGCCATCATCACTAGTTCCAGTGTTCTACACAAGTTGAGGAAGACCGGCGTAGCTTTGTTTAAGGAGGTGGGATCAAAAGAAGATATGTGGAAGGCAAATAGAGTCCCAGGAATATAAGCATCATCCCAATCAAAGAATAGAAGATATAGTCCATTTCAACTATTTTATTGCACAGTCACCATTTTTTCTTCTAATTCCTCCATTCAGTTTTGACATATGATGGCCTAATTGGGCTTCAATTATTGGTTTGAATAATGTATTATTTGATAAAGAGCAAAATAGATCTCTCTTTTCTGCATGTGCCCATTGGATTTCCTATTCTCTTTGATTCTTTCCCACTTAAAATTTCTTGTGAAGCTAGAACAGAAAGCAAATTGGTGAAAAAGAAATGGGTAACACACAAAATTCTTTGTTTTTTTTTTTTTTTGGGCTACTGGTGGATATGCCTCTGTTAATCCCTTTGGAAAACTGCTGGCTCCGCCCCCTGTATTGAAATAAAAATGAGCCTAGTAAATTCATTATTTGAACAGCTGCTTTTACATTGTTCACTGTTGGAGTGAAGAGTTTTCGAGAGAAAGCATCTGATGTGATTTCTGATCCGTCTAGAAGTGTTCTTCAAGGTCAAGATCAAGGGAGAAGCTCTTCTATTCGGATGGCTTCAAAGATTTTACCTTTCCATGTGTGTCAAACTTGTATTCTTATGCCGTTTGGAGTCGTAATTGTTTCCAAGAGTGGAGATAGAACGTCTATGATCCCCTTTACTCTGATGGATCTCGACCCTGCCTTGAAGATAAGTACACCTTATCATGAATCATGATGCGACTTAGAACGAGCTCAAATTAGAAAGAATGATTAACCTGATATTTATAAGATTTGGTAAAGGAGACCAGAGCAAAGAAGATTTGGATTGAAGGAGACTCCAAATTAATCAAAACATTGATGGCTTGCAGAACAAAATATCCTTTCCATTATGAACCAAGATTAAAAGTCCAAAGCTTCCGTGTTGATTACACGGAACGACCCATAACCTACCATTCTAGGCTGTTGTGGTTTTGAGTTGGTACCGGAAGCCAAACCAAGCTCCAAAATGGCATCTGGGTGTGGAATAGTGCTGTCGTGTGGGTATCATCATTTCTCTTTAGAATGGTGACAAGAACAGTGAACCAGAGAGAATTCTTTTCCATGGCCGTCCACCAAGGAGAGCTGAGCTGTTGGACGTTGGAGGGTTTTAGAGTTTTCTACACAAATGATGTTGCATAATGACTATGGTGCTGACTGAGGAGTTGCTTGCTTCCACAACTCGGAAGGAGGGTCAAGGGAGTGCGGTGCTCCACGAAATCGCCGCCTGTGTCCAAAGTCGAAAACAAATGTGTAATAGGCGACTTTTGGTCCCCATCCCCAGTGAAGAAATCATGGTAGGAGGCGGCTTATAGTGGATGGGTGTGATTCATCTAACAGTCTAAAGCGCCTTTATTTTCCCCCATGCTTTTGCCAAAATACAAGTGGTCACCATCTTTGCTTCCACTGATGCTTTGCTTCACCTAATTCGATCTTATATGCTCCGTTTGTTTGCAGTGCAAATTTCATTTGCATTGGACTGTAATTTCTGCTTTGTTTTATTGACTTTATGAGAAGTAAAATGATGTGATTCCCATTCCATATGAAAGAGAGAGAATGGATTATGGAGGTATAAAAGGAAGGTAATTTATTTTGGGAGGAGTAACATAGGAAGCAAGATGATGTGGTATCCACTTTATTTGATAGAGATTCCAAGTAGACGGGTTTATTAAAAAAAAAAATGAAGTAGGAGGAAGGAGGTTTGGATTTTGCATTAGTTTTTGAGATAAAAAATGTGCACCGACATGAATGTAAATGAGACAAAATGCAAATTTTGCAACAGAACAAATGGATGCAAAACTGAATTAACTGTAAAAATTTACTTTCTGTTCAGATTGCAATACAAAGCAATTACAAACGGAGCCTTGTGATTATTAGTTATATTTGTACGGTACGTATTTGTATTTATACTCTTTTCAAAATGAGCCCAAAAGACTTTCTTAATGATGATTGCATTTCTTAAATCATACTTATATAATGCTATAATACTTGCAACTTAGGCTCAGTTTGGAAAGAGTACAAATGTAAATATGTATAGCGTAAATACATACAAAATATAAGGTTTTGCACTACATATATGCATTTGTGCTCCTTCCAAACTCAGCCTTAGTGAAATATTTGCATTTGGATATAGAAATCATCATCATCATCATTTATTTATCTAATAATCTTGTAAAAATTTCCATGTAAGTTGATGGACGGGATGGTGGCATAGTGGCCCATGAACTTGCTAAGTGGAGATTAGTGGTCAGGTTTCTATACTGATGATTCTTCGAGAGGAATTCGGCTTCTGTCAAGGTAAAGCCCATTTAAACAGCTTTTACAGCATTGCATTGAGAATATCTTCCTACTTATATGCTTTATTTAATAGAAAAATATTTTCAATACAAGATTACAAAAGGCGATTGGAATGGTGTGAGAACAGGCTTGCCCTGACGGAAGCTAATCTCCCTCCAGAGCAGCTGGTGAAGCCATAGAATAATGATCTTTGCCCCGTAAAGGATAGCAGGAATGTTCAACCTCTATAATCATTTTCATTTGAGTCTTGTGTCTTTTTCGCCTGTTGTCTGATTTGTCTTCTTTTCTCTTGTTAATGAAAATCCTGATGAAAAAAAAAACTCATTTCTATATTATTGATTGTCTTCAATATGCTTTGTATTGGTGTAAAGGCATGGGAGTGCAAATTAGCTGAATGTTACTTCTAGTTTACTTTTGCTTTATTTGACTTTACTTTGATTGTTTGGGAGGAGCAAAACAGGGAATAAATCGATGGATCCCCACTCTATATGGGGACAAGGTAAAAAATAATAGTATTAAATTTAATATCTATTTCGAGGATTAAAATGAACAAATTTGTTAAAAGGATCTGATGATGCACAATCCGGTCGTTTCTAACTGCCGGTTACCTCGCCTCTGACGGAATTGAAGGTGCCTGAAACAAGGAAGAAACTGGAGACTTCCGGGGAGGAATCCGGTTGGAACACTCCGAAGCTCAAGTTAGTGCTCTTGAGAAGGCAAGGGGAGATAAAGGATTTCAAGACCAAAAAGCACGAAAATCACATACCTCCTTCTTTGGGGGAAGGGGGCCTTTTATAATCACCCTGGTACACTCACTCCCATACCTCTGCCAGATCGGGTATCATCACCTCCGTCAGGTCGGGTGTCATCACCTCTGCCAGATCGGGTGTCATAACCTCTGCCAGATGCCAAATCGGGTGTCATCACCTCTGCCAGATGTCAGATCGGGTGTCATAACCGCCACTGTCTTCCTTGTTAGAGTCGTCTCTGCCATGTCTGAGACGATGGTGGTAGGTGGTCGTTGGAGGGCGGCTGTCATGTGTCGGACCCCTAATTAGTTAGGCGTGCCACGCCGCCTCCGTGTACGGGCTTCCTTGGCGTCAGGTACGATTGTTCAATCAGGCGACCTAGTGCTGGAGTGGTGTGCGAGGTGAAGCCTTGAGTTCGGATAGAAGTGTGGCCCGAACTGCCCCGAGGTGGATCAACTCGGGTTTTTTCCCTTTGCGCTCCTTGTAAGGCTCAGGGCCTCTAAGGGAGAGCTCGGGCTCCTCCTTGGGGAGCTCGAGTCATGGGTTCCTTTTTTTGGAGGAGCTCGGGGCTCCTTTTCTTGGAGCTCGGGTCATGGGCACGCTGCCATGCCGAGCTGGCGCTCCTGTCAGGTCACTCTCGATTGCTTCCACGTGTCACGCGGCCAAAGGGTCGGGCCAAATCTCCCTCCATCAAGATCAACTACTAGACTGATAAAGTTGCATTTAATATGCTATCTTCCTAATTTTCCATTTGTTTGCAATGCAATTCTGAATTCAATGTATAATTTCCAATTCAGTTCAGATCTTTATATGAGAGAGACTTAAGGTAAGAAGGAGATTGTGCTAATTTTGCATCAGCTTTTATGACCAATGCAAAATTTTCATATCAGGTAATAGTGCAAATCATAAACACAAATAATTAAACATATAAAGATACTGAACTGGAAATTATATATTGAATTCAGAATTGCATTGCAAACAAATGGAAAATTAGGAAGATAGTATATTAAATGCAACTTTATCAGTCTAGTAGTTGATCCTTTTAACAAATTTGTTCATTTTAATCCTCAAAATAAATATTAAATTTAATACTATTATTTTTACCTTGTCCCCATCTTTCTACAGTCCTGTAGTTGAATTGGTCGCAAGACATCCCTTATTTTTACTAAGGTTGAGTTCGGAAACAATGCAAATGAAGTGTAAATCCTAGTTCAGGGTAAATTTGCACTCTGGTTCATTTTTTGCATGTGTTTGGCAACATTACATTTATGCATTGACAAATGACAGACCAATACATATTTATATTGTTAATAAGATGTAAACGTACATCAATAAAAAAGAAGTAAATTTACATTCAAGTGGACTTTTGATTATATATATATATATATATGCTTTATTGGAATTTACGTTAGCATTCATTACAGCTAAAAATCTGTTTGGTAAGAAGATAAATTTGTCAGTGCAAAATTAACCCAATTTTACAATTTAAATGAACCATTTTACACTCTACATATTTGCATTCGCACTTATTTGCATTGTTTCCGAACACAGCCTAAATAGGTGTTTGGTACTGTGGTATTATAATCTCAACATTTTTAGCTGAATGATAACATTGAAAATGGGAAAAACACACAAGGGTTAGTAAGCCTATTGAAGCAAAAAGCATTTGGGAAATATGACAAGTGAAATTTGCAGATTGATATTTTGAATTCCTTCCTGGAGGGGGAATTTCAAACTCCTGACCACTTTGGACCACTTGGACAGGTCCAATTTAATGTATAATCATCCAATCTGTTCAAATTGGTTTTAATTTAGATTGGATCCAATTCAAACTTGGTCCATTGACACCCATATTCTTATCTTTTATCAATGGACTAGATGTTGATTCTATCCGATTCAATTCAATACAAATCCACTATGGATGGGTCAGGCCCAATCCAATCTAATTAATACTTTAGACCATTAAGTCAGGACTAGTCCAATTCAATATTTTATTGATTTGTCCAATTCGTCTAAATTGATTTTGATTTCTACGTATCCAACCCAAAACCAGTAGTCCATTGACACTCCCTACTAAAGAACAGGCCTCAAAATATAAATTTAAAATCTGTTGTTCTTTGAATTTCTAGTTGTTTGTGATTTTCTCTGATCATCTAATGAGCACAGAACATGAAAGGAAATTTGAGAAATCAGGCAGCTGGTACTAAGCCCGGATACCCACATCCCTGCCCACAGTACACTACGGTTGTATTAATAATATCTCCCTTGTCAATCATAGGGAGATGTTTCAATACACAGCTAGTGGTATAGTCTTGTTGGTAGGGATGTGAAAAGAATTTGTGAGTAGGATATATCCGGAGAAGCTAGTAATACGATTTATACAGAATTAAAGAATAACGATTAGCTATCTGCCAATCACTAGAATAGAATTTTATTTGTTTGTTTGTTTTTGCTTTGAGAGCAGGATGGGGTTGCTCAGGTTCAAATCTTCCACTAAGCCATATTTGGTTTTATAGAAAATAAGAAGAAATTAAACAAAAAAATTGGGGAAAAGTAGGCCTTAACTTTCTTCGTTTTTCTTCTTTCATATCAAACCAACTTGAGCATTAGCAATCATCCATTTAACATTCTTTAATCTTTTGCTAGGATATGAAGCTGATTAGTTTGATAACTCATAATAAGGAAGAGGTCGAGGCCAAAATATATATAGAGTTTTATGTGATTGGCAAATATCGCTTACATTAAAAGGAAAGTGTTACAAAACAATTGTGAGGCCATAAGGGCAGGTGTTACAACCTTGGCCAAGCTCTCTTATGCATTAATGACAGGTTATTGCAGGTGGGTTTGTGAAATCATGTAGCTCGGGTGTGTTCAGGCCCAGCCCGATCTACATGGTTTCATTAATTCCTTTCTATGGGTGCTCTACCAATCTGCAATAACCTGTATGAGGGGGCCAAAACCTAAAGTGGATGGAGGATCATTAACTGGAAAGGCTAACCTGGCTTCTCGAACTCAAAACGAAAACAACACCTCCAAACTTAGGGGAGGTAGTTTTCTACCATTAACTTAAGCTATCCCAATTGCCAAATGTAACTTGAAGAAGATAATTTCAGATTTCAAACAAAAAATATGCCAATATGCATTTCAGATTTCACAATCACCTTCATAGTGTTTGGTTCTGTGGCCATTTGTTTAAAAGATAATTTCTATTCATCACCACATAAGAATCTATTTCAAAATGCTATTTGGTAAGATTATTTGAATAAGGTCATGTTTGGGAGCGCTTAAGTTAAAAATAAGTGCTTATTTGAATAAGCATTTATTTGTATTTGGCACCCAATTTTTTCAAATATTTATTTTTTTTAAATAAGCACTTATTCTATATTAGTTGTTTGGTAGTCTTTTTCTCTAATAGCCACTTAAATAAGCATTTGTGACTATTTTGTCCTTCATTTTCTCTTAAATTTTCAAAATATATCCTTGAAAGAACTTTTATTAAATTACTTTTATAAAAACACTTATGAAAGTATCTTTATAAAAGCACTTTGCTTTTAAGCAATTTTAAGAAAGTACTTTCGTAAAAGTGCTTTTATACAAGTGTTTTCATAAAAGTAATTTCTTAAAAATTCTTTCATAAATAAGCAATTTATGAAAGTACTTTTGCAAAAGTTCTTTCATAAATCTGTCCACAAATTTCATGCTAAATTTGGAGCACAAAAAAATGAAGACAAATTCAAAGAAATTTAGTTAACTTTTTTTTTGTAGAAATGTAAGTGGGATACAAACTTTTTTTTTTGAAGAATACCCTCTGATTCTCATTTCACGGGCATGACTGAACTTGCATTTGTAGCTTTCATGGACACAACCTGTAAAGTTTGATGACTTTAATTGTAGGAGGTCCCTTGTAATGATTTGATGAAGATCTTCTTGATTACAACAATTTGATAAAATATTTATTATGTGCATTACTTTGATGGAAACTTTCTTAGATTAGCAAATCAAAAGACCAAATTTTTCAATTCGCGTAACACAGGACTGCAACAATTTTGAAGCTTCAACCGTTGAGAAGCCGAATTTCTAATTCTTCCTTCATGCAACAAGAAAAGTTGAAATCAAACTCAGGAAGTGCTGGAGAGAGCCGAAGAGGAGAGAATAATTTCAGTTGAATATCTCTAAACATGCATGTGGCTAACATCATTTAATTTGAAACTTTAACATCGGCACATGAGCTGGACTTCTCCTAAATTCTTCTGTCTTCTCCCTTCTCTTATTATTATTATTTTTTATCTTATTTTTCTTTTTTTAGATAAACCAGCTCTCTTCCTCCTCTCGGCCACCTCTCAGAGAGAGAATTTCTTTGCTCTCATCTCCATTTTATAGTGGATGGCTACGTTTGAATTCAAACCCCGCCCCAAAGGTTTGAATTTAAATAAAAGGCCCCAAAAGATTGATTTGAAAGACATCCAACTTAATGGGATTTTCTTAATTAAAATTTGTATTATTTTGGAAAAATGGCTGGTTTGAGATCTCCTATTAACAAATTGGTGATCTTTGTATAAATAAGGTTGATTGGAAGATGCTTGTACAAGTACCACTTGGCAAGAAATTAGGGCCCACATAAGGAAGAAAATCCATTAATTGAATTAAGCTAATCTCCTTGAATCAGCCAACCAATTTTTCTTTTTAACCAAATTGTTAATTAGGCATGGTTGCCAATCAATTGGGCCCCACTACATTGATTAGAGAAAACCTCTCTTATTGATTTGAGTGAAAAAAAAATTCATTTTAATTGCCATGAATGGTGGACCTATCTCAACGTGGCAAATGTTCATTGCCTCTACTCAGTTTGGCTTATAATGGGCCCTACCCAACATACTCTTGGGTTTGGATTTAATGTTACTTCCCCACAAATACATTAGGGAGCCCATTTTAAATTTCACATTGGGTCTCAGTCAACATCTTTATTGGGTCCAATATTTTTGTTATTCTTTTTTTAGTGGACCCAATAGCTCCTTTTTATTCAATCTCATATTGAGTACCGTTAAGCTTATATAACGTCTAATAACCTCTAATGGCATCTATATGTCAAACAAGCAAATAAACATTAATGAATCACTCTCCTCTTCCAAGACAAATCCAATACATAACAATTATTAAATAAATGGCCACTGTTCTTGTCATTATATGCCAATTCATTAACCAAGGTTTTAAAATCGGACCGGACAAGGAACTGTTCTGGGTCCGGTTCTCCGGTTGAATGGTCTAATTGTCCTGTCCAAACAGACAGCCCATTCTGAGTTTCTGACAAAACATTAAAAATTTAAAAGAAAATCAAAAAAATGGCCAAAAATCATTTCCAGGTCAAATAGTTTGATAATTTAACCATCCAGGTCAGCGATTTATTGACTAAATCAACAGTTTTTTACTAAATAATAATTTTGGGTAAAACAAAACCGATTCTTGATTTTTCCAATCCGACCGTCCGGTCCGATCCGATTGAAAGCATTGTCATTAACAAACACGTGAATTGACTCTTAACAAACTGGCCGTGGCCGATGGTGATGGATTTTTCATTCCTCTCAGAAGTCGGAAAAAAATAAAAAAAATCATATATCTCTTGCCACTTGCCGCGTATTCGAGGTCACACTTGTTCTTCCCGTAATGGCATTTCTATCCCTACTTTTCCACGAAACGGTACCAAATGCGATCCAACTTTCGTAATTTCATAGGACCTTTTGCATCCAATTTGCGCGCGAGAGACTCATAACACGAACGAACGCGAGCAAATACAAGTGAGGCGATCCTGGTTTTTGGTCGATCACGCTAGTGAGACTCATACATCTTTCTTTGATCTCTTCAGATAAACCGCAATTCAAAGGACAAATCAAAGAGAATTTTCCAGGTCGGCTTCTTTGATTTCTTTCTCCTTTTGTTTTTACATGGATTTGTATATAATAATTGGTTAGAACTTACAAGAAATGCTGCTCCGATCTTCAGCTAGGGTTTGTTTCTGGAGCATTCTTGAGATTTTTTTTCTAAATCTTTTGGTTAACCATTGATAGACTTAACATAATTGAACACAATCTTCAAAATTGCATTTCTAGGATTGAAGATCATCTGTTCCGCCTTAGTAATATTTTTCTAAGCATTATCACAAAATCCATCAATATCTGATTGGTTCTACTTGATTTGTGCGTCCGAAACTGGTAAGTGCAGATATAACTGAAAGCAGAGTTCTTACTGTATTTGTTAACACCAAAAATTGAATTGGGGTTGCTTAGTGAATGCAAAAAAGAAATATTTTTCTAGATCAAGTCCTCATTTTCGTGTGCTTACTAGGGAAAACAATCTCATTTTCATCAACATCAAAGTAGTATCAACCATGAATCTATCGACTTCACCACATTAAGATCTGCATCTGTTGTAATTACAGCATTTAGGTAGAAGAGCCATCAACAGCTATAATTAGAAGTTCTCTGTTCAAATTGAATTACATTATAGTAATCCGGTGGCCTTACAGATTTTCTTTTTTTTTTTTATTTCTTGTTGGGTGAAAGCTGGGCTTAAAACTAGAAAATTGAGTATTTATCAAAAAAGTGGACAGTTGAATTGCTAGGCCAATAGGGTAAAAATGTATGTCTGAACATTTGAAGATTTTGGTGTAATAAATAACTCATGCCACTGACTGAACACTTCAGTGACATACATAATTTCACAAATTCATTATCAATATGAAAGAACTGGAGCCAAAATTTATGACAACGAAGCCATATCAATTTTTAGAACACGGGAGTTGGCTTTTTAAAGGGGGCGTTCTACAACGGGAATGTTTTTGTTTTCATTTGTTTTTCGAATTGCTACATCAGCAGAAAAATAAAACATAAAGCATGTTTTTGAACTCTATTTTTGTTTTCAAAGAAAAAACAAATTGATTTTGTTTCAAAAACCAAATACATGTTTTTGGAACCAATAGATTATTGGTTTTTAAAACAAAAACAAATTTTTAGTATAGAAATTATATGATTTATGGGACATGATGTTGAATAATCAGATGAAAACATGTTTTTGAAACCAGATTGAAGAACATGTTTTTGGTTTCAGTTTTGAAAACAAAACACACTCAACCAAGAAAATATATATATATTTTTTGTGTTTTTGTTTTAAGAAACAATCTATTTTCAAACAAGATGGTTTTGATTTATTTTTAGAATTGACAACAAGAAAAACAATTCACAATGTAGAACGCCCCCTGAATCATCACCTTGCTTGGACCCAATACAGAAAATTTTCTCAATAACCCTTATTTTCTGTTTTGTGCTCCTATATCTGTTTAATCCAAATGAAAATAAACAACTGCACCACCGCTTCCTACTTCCATCTCCAGAAGATAGTTTCGTACTGCTGAAGTGATTTCCTACCCATTGGAATATGCTTGAAGGATACTGTGAGTCTTTAAGTCTGTAAATCTGTAAGTGAATGTAATGTTATGCAGGATATGGGTCTTTGGACATTGCTGGAAGGCTTTCTGTTTCTTGTAAATGCATTGGCAATACTGAACGAAGAGAGGTTTCTTGCCCCTAAAGGTTGGAACTTCTCGGAGGTCTCAGGAGGTGGGACGAAATCACTCAAGGGACAGTTTATGGGATTAATCTATGCAACTCAGTACCTAAGATTGCCCCTTATGGCTCTAAATATCATCGCTATTATTGTAAAGGTGGTGTCCTGATGACACCATTACCCAGTAACATATTGTTAGAAATCTGTTACTCTGTTTTTCCCCCTTTATTTAGATTTCAATAATACTAGGCTAAATATGTGATACCGAAAAGGTATGATAATGGAAAACTCCTGATCAATGAAAAAACCCTGTGAATTTTTATGAAAATCTCCTGATTGGTAGTCGCTTTTATGATGCCATTTAATATATAGTCTTTCTGGTATCATAGTCGAACCCTATATAATATCAAAATAATTCATTTAATGGATAATATAAAATATTTTAATCATTTTCAGTAGTTAATTTTATTAATGACATATCGGAATGTAAAGGAATCAAGCATATCCAATTTGATCCGACCCGTTTGTAGTTTAAGTCATTAGCCCTCCCTCTGGGAGAATTCAATCCTGTTCAATCATATCCAATGCGACCTACCACTCACATGGGACACCTGAGCCGTGATGTGGACATTGATCAATAATATGGTATTTTCATTAAGCTTTGTTCTGAAAATCTTGAGAATTTTGAGAACAATTTTAGCCAACGAGTTGTCGGGCAATGCATTCGCCCAAGAAAAAGAATTGAACCTGTCAAAAAGTTTAGGGTTCTAGAGTCTCTAACGCAGAACCTAAAGATCAATAAGTTCAGTTAAAACATTCTATATATTTATACCCCTTCCAAACTGAGCCGAATCACGAATGGACACAGCGAACGCTCACTAATCTATGAGTAACATGGGTAGCACTTGTAGAGAGATCTAGGAGGTGCACAGAAGGATGAAGATGAACTCTTGCATTTGCCAATTGTGATAGTAATTGGCCAGAGGCAGTGGAGATCCAAACCGGATTTCTGCCTACTACTGTGCAGCTGCAAATGCAATGTTAGGGGTGCGGGTAGAGAAAGTGAGTAAGAAATTTGTCCACGATAAAGATCCCCCCAACAACAAGACAAATAGACAATCACTTTATTAATTAGGAGCTTGGGTAAGCCCCAGTTCTCGATGCATAGGAGAGACCACCTAGGACAGCAAGACAATCACTTTCTTCTGTTATATAATGACAATTGACAACCGGGACCTTTATTTTGATGAGTGAAAGTGCAGCTTTTTATTCGTGGCATAAAGTCGCCCTCAATATTACTCAGTGATTACAGGAGGAGCACAAAAGCCAATCAGGTTCTTCTACCAAACCAATTAGGACTGATCAGATTACACAGGCAACCTCTAGAGAAGCAAAACCCAAAACTCACACTTTACAGAGAGGAGTGAGCCTGGACCAAACTCACTACCCAATGGGAAACATGACCTCATTTGTCCTAAAAGGAGGCAAGGTGAGCCAAGGTGGATTATACCTTGCCAGTAGGAACTTCCCTGTAATCTTGTACCCATCTCTCTCCAAGCTTTGTTTCAGCTTCTCTGCTTTCTCGTTCACCACCTTGTCTTTGTCTGTTGCCACTCCTGAAAACTTCACCACCCCGTCCTCGATGAAAAATGGATACCTCGCCCCGAACCTGCCCTGCCACCGAGGACGAACAGGATACAGGGTAAGGTACGCCTCGTTGCCATTCCTACGTCAGTTTTCACTATGAATTTATATGAGACCCTGCTATACTAAACACTACGTGTTTAACCGTGATAAGTAATTCAGCCGGATGTATATGTTTTTTTCTCCAGTTAATCCGCTCGCTCCTGGACACTTGAGCCTCGTCGCGTCGTCTTTGGGAAGAAAGTCCCTACGGAACTGTTACAAACATAATGTGTACAACGACCTACGTAACCAAATCAAAAGTAAAACATCAGCATGAAATATAAGCAATCAAAACTAAAACCGTCAGATTAGGATCCTTACGATAGTAGTTGCACCAAACATAATGTGTACCTTATCTCCACTCAGTCACTCTGATGCGAGTTGAGGGATGATCATGGGCTGAGCCGGGCGGGCTTTACACATGTGATAAAGGACTACTAGCAGAAAGGGCCCGTGCTAAGCAGGGGCAAATGGGAAGGCAAGGGAACAATTTTGAATAATTCTTTATTGAACAATTGGGAGATTAAAAATGAAAGAAAAAGTTAATATAATTTTCAATTAAAAATCTTACTTCAGCGATTTACACTAATTCTGTGGTACCTCATTTTTTGGGATAAATAACTCAATTTATTCATACTTGTTAAAGAATGGATACAAAAGAGAGCCCTTTAAAGTTTAAAATACCAATAAAGTCGGAGATGGCTCAATAATAAGACCATGTAACATGTCAAATATGTAAACATTTTTTTTACAATTAATAAAAAAAAAAGCATAGATGGTTATTAATTATCGGCCAATTCAGGATGACAAAACTTGTTTGTCTAATATGGTTTCAAGGTTCAGCCCTGTGATACTTTTGGCAACATCAATTGGATCAACATTTGTAAGATTGCAACAAATGGTTAATATAGGATTAGGTGGACCACAAAGTGGAGAGTGTTATTAAAAAATATAACGTTAGGCTACCAAATTAATAGCCACTATGTAGCATACAGCACCAACTATAGAAGGCTCTTAGGCCAAATTACATAGAACCAGAGCTACCTGAAGATGAACCCAATAAATAACCTAACAAATATGCAATATCCATTTTAACTAGAGATGTGGGCTGTGCTGTGCCAGCCCGTAGGTCATGTCTCCCTTTCTTAGGATATTTTGGGGGGTCGGCCCGGCATGACCCATGGCCCGAGCCCATGCGGGCCTGTGACGTGCCATGGGTTGGGCTGGTCCATGGGCTGATCTTTGGCCCAGGCCAGGCCTTGGACAGTTTGCACAACCGTATCAGGCCTGACACGGCCCACATGCTGTCGTGCTAGGCCGATCCAAATTTGTCTTGGGTCGCAGGTGGCACAGCCCAATTTACACCTCTAATTTTACCTGATTAGTAAATCATCTAAATAGTAATACACACTCTCCAAGAAATACTTTATAGATATCGTAAGGGAAATAATATGAAAAGTCTAATCATATAATTGACTAAGTATACCCTTACTGTTTGAAAATTGACTAAAGTTACCCTTACTGTTTCTGACAATTGACTAATACTTCCCTTACCGTTAGTGTCCGTTAACAAAAAGACTAAAAAGACTATTTTACCCTTTATTCTTCTTCAAATTTTCAAAATAAAACAGAAAAAATGGAAAAGAGATGTCGGTTCATCAAAATCCTAACCTTTCAAACCTAGAAACTCCACTCTATGGTAAATTGAAAAGAACTACTATTTAATGGCTTAAAACATAAGAGCATAATTTACCACTCTTATGCTACCGGTTCATGTTACCGAAGACCCAACTTTGGATTTTGGTGGAAAAGGTGAGACGAGGAGAAGTTGGGAAAGAGCTCGACTGTTAATTGAGTGTGCCAATAGAAAATGTTGCAATAGGATTTGTTGATGAGCTTAGTTTCAAGAAGTAAGGGTGGACACCATCAAAAGGTAGGTGGAAGATTTGGGCGTGGCAGTAGAAGAGGAAACTAAACTCATTTTGAAAAGAAGTAGTGTCTATGATAACAGATTTAGTGACGAGAAAAGAAGCTAACCCGATTTCAATAGATCAAAATTATGTTTTCAAAGTTGGAAGTTCATAAAAATAATAGATCTTCTCTGCAACCAATCAACGCAAGCTAGTAGTATCAAACACTCACAAAATGCGACATTAACATGCGTATGGTTTCTGCATCGGGTGAAACCAGATACCATTAGGTGAGAGTAGTGGGTAGAAAAAACTCAGGATTGATTGTAGTAACTAAGCAAACAGGATTGGTCGTACGACTTTCTCTCTCTGGAGCTGGGGCTGACCTGAACAGAAGAATAATTCATGTTCTTCTGCTATATTTTCAAGACTCCAACCAAATCTCTCATGTTTTCCAATTAGACTCCATTCTTCCGATTGCCACTTGCCCGAAGTTTCAGAGCAGAGTTAATCTTCGACCAACTTTCCGGCAATGCTGATCTCTCGTCATCTTTTTCTTCTTTTGGTTCTTCACTCAGCTGCTCTGGTCACTTATCAGCTTTCTGGCTAATCTCACTAAGCAAGAGGGTTCGGAGTTGGGTTTTATTTTGAAAATTCTTTTCAAACTCAGTGCTGGTGCCGGAGACGCTATTCTGAACCAGCGAACCAGCCGTTATGTGGATGCTCATTCCAAACCTTGGGAGACGCTGGCCATCCAATGAGATATTCCCTACTGGTGTTGGTGTTGGTGCTAAAGGGGACAATGAGATATTCCTTTGGAGCTGGTGTCTGTGTTAGAAGTTATAATAAGGGTAAGTTGGGTATTTTTTGAAGTTATAACAGTCACATGATACACATTTGAATGGTTTATAACAGAACATTAATGGTGAGGGAAGTATTGGTCAATTGTTAGCAACAGTAGGGGTAGCATTAGTCAATTTTTAAACAGTAAGGGTACACTTAGTCAATTAACTAAAGTAGTTTAAGAAATTTACCCTTAACCAAAATAAGATCTTCATCATCAGATACTAGTGGTTCTATAGGCCTTTTTCCCACAAGCCACTATAAACATAAAAGCATGGTTTTCAAAACCGGACTGGACCGGAGCCAGTCAAGTGACCAGTTCCATTTTTCCCCAAAACCGGATTTTTACCAAAAAAACGTTGATTTGGTCAACAAATCACTGACCCGGGTGTTTGAATCATTCAACAGTTTTGACCATTTTTTATTTTTATAATTTTAAATTTTTTTTTGTCTGAATAGGCCAATCGTTCGGTTCAAACAGTCGGACCATTCGACCTGGGATTTGTGCTTGGAGTCGGTTTACTAGTTCTAGAGATTTCTAGTGGAAGATAACCTAGTGTCCTCATCACATGTGTTGTTTGAGGATCGATCTGTGATCATATAACCTTGAGAGCCCGAAATCCCCTAACCTACCATTAAATTCTCTATCTATCTAATAAGACATTGTCGGATTTTACATCTCTGTGAACAACAATCTTCTCCCAATTTTTATGTAGGTAAAATAGTGTGGACACTATCCCTTTGATGATTCGTACACTAACATAAGCTCTCCTTTACGCCAACAATAGCCTATAAGAGTTATACTAAGTTCTAGTGTCGCAATTGAGCAATGGTAACAATCTCAGCAATGAATTCTCTCATTCCTTGCCTTGATTGACATACTTTCTTCATTACAAACTTTCACCTAGGAAATGAGTACCGAAACCCCTTGCAATTCCTGATTCAGTGTTGGCCACAGCCCACAGGGCAAGGAACTATTCAAATCTCTTTTTTTCTCCTCCTCTAGCTATTGTATATAAAATTAAAAAAGAAAAAATAAAAAAAAGCCACCGGTATTCGAACCTCTCTATTTTCTCCCTCCTTTTCACATTTCTTATTATACTCAAATGAAAGACAAAAAGGAAAAAACAGTTAAAAAAATATTTCGTGATTGCATTTTATTCCATGTTGTCCGATGATAACATGCCAGTCTTTCAAATGGTTGTTTGAAGGCTTTAAATTACTTTTGAAAATTTAAATAAGAGTATATTTGTCAATTGTCAGAAAAGATAAGATACTTTAAGATGTCATATAACTTAACTTATTCTAAGACAATAACATATAAGTGTTAATTTAAAGAAGAGTATTATATATAACTTATTTTATATTATAAGTGTTATATTTATAAAATATAACTTAAAATAACATATAAGAAAAGAAGGCTTGAAATATAAAATCCTCCCCTGTATTTTCAGTCTAATAAAACCCTGTCCTAACATTTTGAGAAAAGGTGATCCAAGCCTCCCCACTAAAAAATAGTATTTTACGTGAAAGATTTATATTGGCCTATACGTGTATCTTTCATAGCATAAGCCTTGAGGCATGACACGTATGCCTGGTCTAACAAGGCTCTGAACCTCAAACCAAGACCCTGATGCCTAAACCCTTGTCACGGCATATGTTTTATGACTCGAGGCTTTTTTTTTTTCTTTTTTGGTATTCGGTGCTATGTATCATTAATAACTTCCTTTTGAGTCTTTTTTCCCAAAGTATTGGTTGTGGGATTTGATTTTATATCAATACTGGAACAAACCAGATAGTACACCAAGGAGACAGTCCTCGTTGGTTCATGGCTCAAGACTTCAGCCTTCAAAACCATGACTCAAGAGTGTGTTTGATAAGACTGCAAATGTAGAACCAAAATATATTTGGAAGTGGGTAATATCTTTCTGTACACGGTACTGAAATTCCTGATTCAGTGTTGGCCACAGGCCAAGGAACTATTCAAATCTCTTTTTTTCTCCTCCCCTAGGCATTGCATAAAAAAAAAAACACTAGTATTCGAATCTCTCTATATTTCGATTGGTGATTGTATTTTACTCCATCTTGTCTGGTGATAACATGCCAGAAGGCTTTAGACTATTTTTGAAAATTTAGAGATGAATGAAGGGTAAAATAATTTTTTTCACATTTCTGTTAATGAACGTTAGTAGTAAGAAAGGATTTGTCAATTATCAGAAAACTTAAGGGTACTTTAAAATAATGTATATTATATGTCATATAACTTATTTTAAGGTGATTCAAGCCTCCCCACTAAAAAATAGCATTTTACGTGAAAGATTAAGGGTCTGTTCGTTTCCTCTTATCTTTTATCTCTTAAAGTGCAACCATACAACTTTTTATTTTTTAATTAAATCTCCAAAAAGACAAACAAAAACTCTTATATATGGGGTTAAAACGGATATTTGATAATTTTCAAAATTCAGAATAGCATTCTCCGTATTCAAAATTCAAAGAAAAGAAAAATTCATCGATACCAATATACCATGACTGCCAGCTTTGATCTGAGGCAGCAGTCTTTAGTCTGCCCCCTAAACCTCTGCTGGCTTAGGTCAAGCCGCCAGTTTAGACATAAAAGACTGTCGCCCTTAAAGGTTGATCCGAAACAGTTCAATCAACTCTAAAGCAGTGGTACTACATCAGAACCGCCGGCTTAGATCGTATTTGACCGCCGCCTTAGGTCAATCAAAATTCTACCTGCCCTTTTAGGTGGCAGTCTAAACCACCGGCTTAGGTTCTATTTGACCACCACCTTAGGCCAGTGAAAACTCTAGTTGACTTCTTAGGTGGCAGTCTAAGCTGCCGGCTAGGTCCTATTTGACCGTTACTATAGCTTGTTTATGGCTAAGCCGACAGTTGCATGACCGCCGGCTTTGATTTTTTTATTTTTACTAACTTAATTCCATGACAAATCTCAATTTAATACTTGTTTGATACAAATCTCATGACAATTGATACTGAGATACATAAAAAAATTTAAATAAAAAATGTAATTAAAACAAAAATCTATTAATTGAATTATTTATTATTATAATATCCAAAACAAATTGTTTAAATACAATATTCAATTGATGTATAAAAGTACAAGGAATTAAAAAAAATCCAATTTCCAAGATAAGGTAACATGTCTTCCAATGCAAATCCATTTAACATAATGGTTGAACCTGCAAACCATACCATATAAATTGTTAGGGAATGGATTATGTCTATCAATAAAAATTTGGTCAATGCTCAAAATACAAGATCAAGTAAAATGAAGTGAAAATCTTTAAAAGAATATTGTTTTCTCACTTTGTAAGGGCTAACTTTAGCCAACTTGGATGTTTGACACTTGAGCTACAAAAGAATGTCGATTTAAGTTATTTATAAGATCAAAATTTTGCAACTGATGACAATTCAACAAATGCAACTAATAAACAATTTAAAAAATGAATTGCACGGATAGAATGGGAAATGTTAATGAATTGAGGTGTTAAATCATCCTTGAAAAATTGAATAGAGCATTTCTAAGCATAAAAGGTTCTATTATCTGTGAGATCCTACAAATGTAAGTACAGATAGGGGATGCAGTTAGAGTTGAAATCCTAGGGTATTACAAGGGTTGAAGCTGGTCAAAAGAACCAAATTAACGAATAACATCATTGAAGGGGATTTAAAAGTGGTGGTAGAGTGGGTTTGTAATGAAGATGTCCTTGGTAGTACAGGCACATCATGAGGGAGATTCCCGAGCTAAAAAGGGACAGGTTTGTTGTTGTTCAGTGGACTTATAGAACTGCAATGGGCTGGCAGATGGTTAGCAAGGCAAGGGGTTGAAAGAGAGAATTTGGTTCTGGGGAATGGTTACGCAACTCATTCTCTGAGCCATTACACAACTCATTCAAAGGGGTCCAGCAAATTGGTTACCCAATTTAAAGAAACTTCACTGCATTAGAACCAGGCCCTCAGACCAAGCCCTTTCAAATTTTAACATATGCCTAACCCAGGCTTACCCAAGTTGCACCCCTTAGGCATTCAGTTCTATGCCATTCCTCCACCCACATCAATCCATTAACCTCCTTTTCTATTCTCCAAACTGCCATTCCACAAGTAAAAAGGGAACAAAGTAAAACTTGAAGCAAAAGTATTCCAACTTAATCATATCTATAAAGCCTTATTCCAACAGTAGTAGATTTAGATACACAAGTCCCGTTTCACTGATCTGATCTGTCAAGGGACAGCAATTTTTTATTGCAAATGACCAAAAGATATCTAACTAATTTATATGGAGGGCTTTGTATAAATCATGTTAACTCAGCCCTATTATAAATTCTTATGTATAATTTGGCCCCATATCTTGTGTTAATTCAAGACACGAAATTTGTCAATGGCTACTTCATGGATTTCTGCAAAAATCAGGTATAGATACTTGATAGCAGCAAGAGCTCCTCTATGTGTGTGCTTGTGTGGCTCAAGCAAGCAATTTTTGCTTTTCTTTTATATCTAGTAACAGGGTGGGGTGGGGCCTCTCTTTTAAACCACAATGAGATTTCATTCTTATTCCTAGTGAGCTTTGAATTAAGTCTTTGTTGTATAACCATACGCTTGCTGTTTGTTTATAACTCGTAGATGATTCTTTAATTTATAAATGGTAATGGGACTATAAAAATAGGGATAAACAATCCCTAAAATATATAGAAAGTTTAATGAGACTGATAAAAAAAAAAACATGAATATAAACAGCATTAAAATCACTGTAGATGATTGTTATAAAGACTTAACATGTTTTACAGGTAACAAAGCATAAGTGTTCTCATAAAAACTAGATGAGAATAAAGTACCTGTTCAACCAAGTTTAAAACATCCAAGACAGCTGGCTCTTTTAAATAGAGCTTCTTAGCAGCAAGAGAGATGACATGGTTGATGAATTCCTTGACAAGAGGAGTATTTTTATTGGAAACCCACTCTTGAGCTATTCACGCAGATCGGACAAGAGAGCCATAAGCAAATAGACGACCTAAAAGACAATCCCTTGCTTCCTGAAATTGCACAAAGAAGGAACTGAAAAATATCACACGCAGAGAGTGGCAACCATATACCAGTATTCTTCAAAGCATGATTTAGCATGCACTTGCCTGACCCTTCATTGAAGAAGAGACCTCTAACAAATTAACTATTAGTTTCATCAAAGACTCCACTCTAATGCTAGGAATAGCATCAACTACAACAGTCAACCCCAATGCAAACCCTTGTCTCGCACACTACAGAAACATCACAATGTTGACAACATGTCTTAAGTCAGCTTCTGAAATTGCACAAATAAGTGGGCTGGTTATAACAATATTTCAGTAAATCAGCATAACCAATTAGAACCCCAAAGAAAGACATAAAATGAAAAAATTGCAAAAATGTATTACAGTTTCAACATGCCATATGTATCTCAACCAATCATGCTAGATATCTGCCACTAGTGAACAATCAGTAACCATTAGATTAGTTTCTAGTATAATCTCCAACTAGAGAGCATATTCAGCTTAATACAACTTGCTTAAATCATACTACTTAAGGAGACGTTGCATAGTTGCATGTACATTGTGAAAAAAACATAACCGTCCACGTTTGACAGCCTGTGCTGTCCACAGGGCTATGTTTGCATGACATGTTAATCCACACAAACTCCATGTAATGGACTAATGGTAAAGGCACTGGATGCATGGCTGTGGGCTTATGTTTCACACAGAGAGCCTATGGAAAGCCCAGGCTGTCAAACATGGACAGCCAAATGTAGCAGCAAGCATTAGTAAAGGAGGCAAATAGAAGAGGGGCCCAAACATTCAAATAGAATCAGGAGCAGGTAAGTTGTACTAGACTGCCACACTATCTCAAGATACCCCACTGGAAAATAAAGAAGCTCCACTTCTACCTCAGGAAGAAGTGGAAGCTCCATAATCGTTCCACATGAGCCATGATTTTAGACCCACTCACACACAACCACACATTCTAACAAAATAACCCTGTGCCCCAATCTAGCAGAAGAAGGGATGGATAATTGGATCTTTATAAAATGGAAATTCGCTGCTTTTTGCAGGCATGCATATTAGAACATGCCATACTTAAAGACAGCAAATTTCTGCATTTATCCCATGGACAAATAGTACGCCACTTTATGACATATCATTTTGAATCCAGATAAACTAGTAAATTTCAAAGCATTTTATGGCAACACAGTTCACATGGGGTGTGGTGACTTTTCCGTGCAACAATCACCATGAACTTTGGAGCTCACTTCCAATCTAGGAACTTGCAGTCAGAGGCTCTTTCCAAAACTGTTGACAAAAGGGGCAGTTGTTTTAGCAAAAGTAACCTCAATGATTTGACCCAGTTCAATGTTCAGAACTTGGTTGAATTGTGATTCGCTGACACCATCCCTGATTTGGTATCTCAATTCCTTTTTGTTCCCCACATTTGATTAGACCTCTAACAGGACTGTGTATGTCACAACAAGCTAAGAAGTTCACAACAGCTCAACGTTCAACCTTTGATGATTGAACAAATTTCTGCTCACAAACAGGTTAGCATCAGAACCATGATTTGGTATTTCAATTCCTATTTCTTTCTACTTATCCACTGTTAAAGTCTTCTCAAGCAAGACCAGGGCCTCCACAATGGGTAGAATGGAGCTAGCTTAAATCTTACTACTTAAAATGCTGAAACCATGTTCCCTTTTCAGCATCCTATTATAAGAGGAGCTATAAGAACTGGACCTTGTCTCAAAGGAGATCAAAGCTTTGAGATTTAAAGCTTGTTTATAATATACAAGTGTGTCATCCAATAATTTTACACACACACCCCATTATTTGGTTTTATGGTAAAATCTTGGGCTGACAAGAGTGAGAACATGGATTTCAAGTGACCACTTTGGGCTAAAAAAAATGCCACAAAGCTAGATCTGTATCCAGTCTACCATGTATGTATGTATGTATGTATGTATGTGTGCACTTAGGAATACCAGTCCACAAAGCCTAGATCTGTACTGCTACCAGATGTATCAGCAATTCACATGTTTATGCATCTGATTTGGTAGCAGATTTGGAATCCCTGTATGTAGAATGTAGCTTCTAAATTTTCATGGTCCTTCCATCTACTCTCTAGGCTCGAAAAGTCTCCTACCTTAAAGCCTTATAGTAGGGCCAATATCTCTGCCCCTTGTTGCTGTATTCTCACCATCTGAGCCTGAAATGTAGCAATCAGATCTTTCATTGTTCCCTTGAAGGCTCTCCCCATCCTTGGGGGTCAGGTTATAATGGAGCAGCCATGAATGTTTAACATTTTTCACTGAATACTGCTATCATTCTGTTGTTCCTTGTAAATCAATCCAAATTGTTCAATTGATACAAACTCAGGATAATGGAAAAAGGAAAGTTCCAAATAAAAGATTGTAAATGGACCACTCTTATAAAGTTTTTCCTCACAGACATTAGTTCTGGTACAGTCATTTGATAGCCATACTTCAAGTTCAAGTATGCTGTGACCGCAGTTAGAGTCAGTGATTGAACTGTCTACCTACAAAGTTGAGTTGATCAACCATTTCTTTCTATCGCTTAACCTCTTTGTAGGATCTTATCAGCTACTACTTGTTAAACTTCTAATGTGATTGGTATTTTTAAAGTACTGTGGTCCGGAATCACCATTTTTTTCCCTTTCTTTTTTCCTGTTTTAACTTCAAAATTTTCAGGGAAAAGTGAAACAAATTGTTGGATCTACCCCCCGGGATTTGAAAGAGGACAAGTCAAGTCTTATAACAAATTTTGAATCAAATAAGTCAGCAGCAGAATATGCAAACCTGTACAAACAGGATGGACTTACAGGTGGTAATGTAATAATGTTGGGAGCAGATGCATTGAGTATGTCAGCAGCAATTGAGGCTTTGCATGCCTATCCGGGTAAGATGATGATTACTATCTACTTCTGATGAATGACTGAATTCCCCTCCCTCATCTAATTCTCTCATATGGTTGAGGTGCTATCGCATGGTATTCTGTCTTTGACTTGGAAGTCCTGTTGTTGCGAAGAACTGTACTTATTTATTGAAATTTTGGTGTGTGAGAGATTAACCCAGGTTGATACTGGACAGCAGCTACTTCATATTATGTGTGTGTGTGCGTTTTCTTCTTTTTGTTAAGTACTTAATTACTGTATATGGAATACAGTAATTTTGGTGTGTGAGAGATTAATCCAGGCTGATTTTTATGGCATTATGTTTTCAAAGATGGACAAATGGACCTTGAAAAGCTCAAAGATGTTGTACGTATTGTTGGCAAACAAAGACTTGTATTGGATCTAAGCTGCAGAAAGAAGGTATGCAAATTCTACCTTTAAAACCACACACAAACACATGTCTGAAGCCAAAGGAGTTCCTGTATCCACTTAAATTTTGACACAATCAGGTAAGCGTTCAAATACGGAGGCATTGCCACAATGCACCTTAACCTTCCGGTTGTTCACCTCAATGTCCTGAAAAATTTTAGGACATTAAACTAGGAAATACAGAGACAGATTAATGCCTTAATAAATAGACTTAATGAATAAGTACCAATATTAGGAATAGGGGACAAAGACAAAATTTAAGGGAAAAAGAATGGAAGGAAAAAAGAAAAAATCTACTTGTAAGAGAGAATCAAAAGGTAACGATGCATATAAATCAACTAATGATAAATTCTTAAAAAAAAAAAATCTCTAGAAACTAAACTAACAAAATAGATGGACTACAGGGAAATCTCTTTTGGACCTTCCTAATCTGGTACTAGTCTTGAATTGAATTTTGAGCTAACTAGAGCAATTTGTTCTTGCTTGAAATCTTAAAAAAAAAAGGAATAAATAACAGCAGCAACAAAATACAAACAAACGATAGCAATACACAATAGCAGCAGGAGTCGGACAAACAGAGAGAGGGAGAGAGATAGGAAAAGAACAAAGAGTCGGACAGACAGAGAGAGGGGTTAGAGTTAAAGTCAGTTTTGCTTTACCGGCAGTAGCAGCAGGAGAAAGGGAAGCGCCGAGATCAGCCATGTCGAATCCATCCATGTTATTACTCGTAATGGCAAGTGGAAGGCGTAATATCAACAAAAAACCCTCGAGAGTTTAGAGAGAAAAAAGAGGGAATCAAAAACACTAGAGATCAGTACCAGCAACAGCAGTAGAAAGACGAGGGAAAGGAGATAGAGGACGTGAGTTGCGGAAACAAAAGGAAGATCAAACACGGGAATCCAAAGGTTTTGGCATTTTAGGTTTTAGACCGGCTCAAATCCGGTTCAAACAATAAAGCCTCGTGCCAGGTGCCAAAGACCGCCGCACAGCTTTTGTTTTTCTTTAATTTAGGGCCCCGTTTGGGGTGTTTTTTTAGAAGATCTTCTTCTAAAGAGCACCGGCTCTAAACCACCGCCTTATACTGTAATTATTACACTTTTAGAAGCCTTGAGGCATATCTTTCCTAGCATAAGCCTTGAGGCATGACACGTATGCCTAGTCTAACAAGGGTCAGAGCCTCAAACCAAGACCCTGATGCTTAAACCATTGTCACAGCATATGCTTCATAACTCTTTCCTTTTCTTTGGTATTCACTGCTATGCACCATTAATAACTTCCCCTTGGCCCCTTTTTCCCAAATTGCTAGTTGCGGGACTTGATTCCATATCAACGTTAGAACAAACCAATTAACACACCAACGAACCAGTCCTTATTGGTTCATGGCTCAAGAGTTGAGCCTTCAAAACCATGACTCAAGAGTGTGTTTGGTAAGACTGCAAATGTAGAACCAAAATATATTTGTAATCCAATTCAGTTTTGCAATTGTTTGATAAGAATAAGACGTCGCTTTTGCATTTAAAACGAAAGTCAAAATTGATCAATGTAAAATAGGTATTGATGATGCACAATCCGGCCGGTCTTAGCCGTCAACGATCTTGCCTTTGAACTGAGTGGTAGGGGACCTGAAACGGAGGAGGTGAAGAAGCTCCGGGGAGAACCCGGCGTAAGGGCTCCGAAGCTCAAGTTAGAATCTTTCAAAGGCAAGATAAGCCAGACAGCGCAAAGTTAGCATACCTCATTCTTGGGGGGTAGGGAGCCTTTTATAACCACCTCGCGCACACACTTCCAGGCTTCTGTCAGATCGGGCATGATTATCTCTGAGCTCCTGCTAGTTCGGATGTCATCCCCTCTAGCCGGACAGAACCGCCACTGCTCCTTTTGTCGGAGCCGTCTCTGCGGCTGGTAACGACGGTGGCAGGTGGAGGTGGCAGGAGGCCGTTTGAAGTGCGGCTGTCAGGCGTCAGATCCCAAATCAGTCAGGTGCGCCGCCCTTGGATACGGACGTCCTCGGTGTCAGGTACGTTTGGTCAGTTTGGTGTTTCGGAAGCGAAGTGCTGGAGTGGCGAGCGAGATGTCTTGAGTTCGGTTCGGGGAGTGTTCCGAGCTGCCATGGGCCAGCTCGGGTCACGGCTTCGTGAGGCTTAGGACCCGAGATAGTTCGGGCTCCTTGCAGGGAGCTCGGGTTTTTAGTAGGGAGCTCGGGTTCTTAATAGGGAGCTCGGACTCCTAGTAGGGAGCTCGGGCTCCTAGTAGGGAATCCGGTCTGGTGGAGTTCAGGCTCAGTAGCAAGCTTGGACTTACTTTCGGTGCTCGTTTTGGGCGTTCTGCTGCCCCGAGTTGCTTGCTTTTGCCACGTGTCGGGTGATTGTGAGGTCGGGCCAAATTTCCCTTCATCAATTGCCCCCCACTCCCTGCGACAAGGGTCCTATTCTTGGCGCGGGGAATTCGTAAGGTAGCAGGAGGATTTTGGTCCGTACTGAGGGCGCTCGCTTTAATTTGATTTTCAAAAAAGGCGCGGGTTTGGGAGACGTGATGGTGGACGTTCGGGAGTCGTGCTGCAGATGCTTTTATTGCGAGGAGACGTGCGCTGACACCCTGTCAGTTTCGAGAAGATGCGTGCCGATGCCCCGTCATCTTTGACAGGACGTGCGCGACGCCTCGTCAGTTTCGGAAAGACGTGCGCTGGTCGGCTTCGGAAGACGTGCGGTTAGTGCGGCTGTGGGCCGTTGGATTGGCTTCAATCTGGGCCGTCGCTTTCCGGCCGCTGTGGATATAAATAGCGAGGGGGGCCCAGTCCTTGCTACTATACCTCTTGAGCTCACGCCTAAGTTTCAGTTCGCGTCCAGGCTCTTCAGCTCGCGTCCCAGGTTCCTTTCTTGTTCGAGCTTTCGTGGTCTACTTCAGTCTTTTTCTCGGGTGAGTGCTCTTAGAATCTCGTTCCATTCCCTGATGTCTAGTTCGGAGGGTTCAGACAGTTCAAGCRGGTCTGATGCAGGTTCTACGAACCAATTTGCGTCCCCCGGTAGTTCAAGYGAGCCCGATGTAGGTCCTGAGGAAGAGGTTGAACCTACAGGCCGAGGTGCCTCGGGTAGGTTGGCGTCCACCTCCCGTCTTGGCCGGGCTTTAGATTAGTTCGGCCCTTCGACTATGACGCCTGAGGGACTTCAATCCCTCATAGACTACTACAACTTGCCCGGGGAGCACGCCTACTTCATCCCTAYGGGTAGCTTCCCTTGGGAACACGGTCCTGATGAGATCATGATTTTCCGGGAGCAGC